AAAAAAAAAAAGGAAGCATTGCTTAGCCAGAGGTCTCAAAGACTTATGCTTTGTTTTTTCCTAAGATGTTATGGTTTTAGTTCTTTTTTAGTTAATTTTATGTTGTAATCTTTTACGTTTTTATTCAGAAATAATTTTTGGTTTTCTTTTTAATTGTTTTTAATAGTATGTTTTCAGGGCTGGGGTTTTAGCTCAGAGGCACAGCGCCTGCCTGGCAAGTGCAAGGTCTTGAGTTTGATTCCTGGTACCAGCAGAAAAACAAACAAACAAACAAAAAAATAGTACGTTTGCAACACATAATGATTACGTTCATTGTGAGGAGTTGGTGCAAACGTAGCACATCTCAGTTCTTTTCCCTCCCAGCCGTCCCCTTAGAGATCACCTTAGACTCACAGGCGGGTTGGAGAGTACTGGCTTCCAGTACACCTTTTATGTCACACGAGCGTGGTGATCAAAACTGTCATCAAAACCGACAGTAGCGTTGATGGAACACTGTTATTTAAACTGCAGACTTGATTCCGACACTTGGGATTTTCACCTTCAGGCATCTTGTAGAAGGTCTCAATCTGAGCTTGTGGTTTGTTGTGAGTGGAGGGTGTAAACCTCAGTGTACTGGGTCCGTGCACCGGTGTGCCCCGCTAGTAGGGTGTGAGCCCCATCACTTGTGTGTTATCTGCCACATTCTGTACCATAGAGCTAACAGTCCCCCCCCCCTTAATGCTGTACTTGTTAGGAACTTGTAGGTCCAGCCCACGTTCAAAGGAAAGAGAATGCTCGAATATGTCGTTACATTCGTTCATACTCTGCCAGAGTCTCGGTTCAAGTGAAATTCATTCCGACAGAACGAGTGAGGTATGCTTTTTTCCAAATGAGGTTCAAGTCTCTTATCCCTGATTTGAAATGGCGCCTTTGTCATACACCACATCCCTATGTGTACTCTGTTTGGGATCTGTTTTTATTTCTTGTTTATTTGGTGGTGGTAAAATATTTACGATTGAGCAGACTTTATGAAAAAGGCTACTGAATTGTTCATCTAAGAAAGTATAACCTACTTCCATTGACTGTATGTCACTCATTGTGAATAATGATTCAGTTTATATTGTTTTTTGGTTTACTCTGAGGAAAACTAATTGTTAAAATGATAATGTTCCTAATTTTTTGCAGCACATCAGTGCCTTCAAATCTTAAAAATTAAGAAAAACATTCTACCTCTGTGTGCGTCAAGATGGTCTTCAACTTCTGTCATACCTCGAATTACTACCCACTACACTGTGTATCCCCGGGACAAGGACCGGCGATGGGAAGGTGAGTAAGTGTGCGCAAACTGTCAGGGCTTCCCTGAATACTTCGTATTGTCTTGTGAGGGGGTATTTTATGGTTCATGATATTTTAAAAGCATCTAATAATACTTCAGCAGTTTTATTGCATATTTCTATTTACATAAGTAGATATTCGCTAAATTTATAACAGTGAACCTCAAAACCAAAAGTTGATTTAAGGAAATAAGACTTGCACTGAAACAGAACCTACAAATACATCAAACCATTATAATAATACACCTAGCATCATTACGTAAAGCATGAGGGGAACTTAGCGGTAATTTGTTAATCACTGCGTGATTTATTGTGTCATTTTATTTATTGGTGACGCTGTTTCCTCCCAGGAGTGAACATGGAGAGATTCGCGGAGGAAGCGGACGTGGTGGTGGTGGGCGCCGGCCCCGCGGGGCTCTCTGCCGCCGTTCGGCTGAAGCAGCTGGCTGCGGAGCACAACAAGGACATCCGCGTGTGTCTGGTGGAGAAGGCTGCTCAGATCGGCGCGCACACGCTCTCGGGAGCCTGCCTCGATCCAGGGGCTTTCAAAGAACTCTTCCCAGACTGGAAGGAGAAGGGGGTACGAGAAGTTGCTCCTTATACAGACTCACATCTTTGCTCTAGCTCTCTTCCCAAATTACTATAGTAGAAGAAACGCTCCTCATGTAATTCTGTCTCTTATGGGGTAATATTATATATATGTATGTGTATATATACTTTTAATTGAAAAAAGATTGACTCATCAGAGTTGCAATTTAAGCTGTTAACATATTTTTACATAATACATCCTGTGTGTTGCATTTGCTGCATTTATGAGAAGACGTGATTTTGAGCAGACCTTTGCATAGTTCTTTGGGTGTCTGTATCATTGTTTTCGTTTTTGTTTGGGGGAATACCAGGAGTCGAACTCAGGAGCTCACACTCACCAGGCCGGTGCTGCACCCCTGAGCTAAATCCCCAGCCCTTGTATCATGGTTCTTAATAAAGTGCTTGTAGAATTTTCTGAGACAGTACAGTATCTGAAGCCAAAATGGGTGATGTAGTTTCAGAAGAAATAAGTCCCTGTGACTTCCCATGGCCTCAGCAGAAAAGCCACGGGTGCAACACTCAGAGGACCAAGTGCTAGTTTCATTGCTTTCAAATGAAATTTGTAGGACCTTGGTTAAACTCTTGTGTTCTCAGTTTTCTCTTCTATGAGGTGAGTTATAGGATACCTGTCCTATTTGCAGGATAAGAATATTCAGCGTCTGCATGCTCTTGATAAGGCTAGAGTATGCAAGCGTTTATAAATACCCGTATTCTTTACATATGAAGTAAATCGACCTGTAACGATTTCATCTGTGGTCTCCTTCCCAAAAGTCATGCTCTTGGGAGCCGGGGATTTAGCTCAGCGACACAGCGCCTGCCTGGCAAGTGTGGGTTGTGAGTTCAATTCCCGGTACTACGGGGAAAAAAAAAGTCGTGCTCTTTAAAATACAAGATCAGTGCTAAGAGGAGGTGGACCTGTGCAAGTGGAAGGGCCAGGAGGTGGAGGGAGCAGACACAGTCACCACGTTAGCGTGCCTGCCAGCCACAGTGGTGCGCACTTGGGAGGCTGAAGGGGGAGGATCACGAATGCAAGTCCAGCCTGGGCAACGTAGCAAGACTTTGTCTCAGATGAAAAGGGCGTTGAGCTCCGCGGTAGAACCCTCGCCTAGCATGTGCAAGGCTCAGGGTTCAGGCCCCAGTACTGGAAAAAGGGGGAGGGCAGTGTCCATTACGAACACAGTAATGTCTTTAGCCAAAGGAAAAAGAACATGTCTCGGTTTTTTTTTCAGCAAGCAGGAAGTTTCATCTTGGAGCCAAGCACTTCCGCCAGACTTCTGCAGAGACAGGCACACAGCATGCTTATGTTTCAGAGATGTCTCCAGGGCTCCCTAAAGAGAGGCTCCTGGGCTAAACTGGCAAGGGGTTTTACTTTTAGCTTTGAAAAGAGACAGAGAAAGGATTTACAGTTACAAAATCCCCAAAGGAAAGACAGAAAATGGGGAGGGGCTCACTTTCCACTATTGTCTCCAGAGAAAACTGAAGTTTTTAAAAATTTATATTTACAAATATGAACTAAAACCTTTTCTTTGTTTCTGTTCTAGGCTCCACTTAACACTCCTGTAACAGAAGACAGATTTGGAATTTTAACAGAGAAACACAGAATCCCTGTGCCAATTCTTCCAGGTACAGCGTGATGAATATTCATAGAGCATGGAGTTCTACAGCTAGAGGGGACTGCCCTTCCTTTATTTCTAGATGAGAAAACAGGCTCACAGATTTGAAGGATCTACCCGGTAATACACCTAACTGACGGGAAAGTAGAACTAGAAGTGTTCTTAGTTTTAATTAAATTTTTATTTTAATAAATTTAATAAATCAGTGCACAGCAAAGGAAACAAGCACTAGGATGAAGAAACAACCTACAACATGAGAAAAATTTGCCAGCTGCTCCTCAGACAGGACTAATGCCTAGAACATATAAATAACTCAAAAAAATTAGACTCCCAAAACTGAAAGACTCATTCAAAAAATGGGCACTTGAAAAGAGTAGACAATTCTCAGAAAGAGGTGCAAATGGCTGATAAGTACATGAAAAAATATTCAGCATCTCTGGCCATTAGAGAAATGCAAATCAAAACACTGAGATTCCATCTTACTCCAGAAAGAATGGACGTCATCAAGAAATCAAATAATAAATGTGGAGAGGCTGCATGGAAAAAGGAACCTTGTAAATTGTATGTGGGAAGATAAACTAGTATGACACTATGGAAATCAGTTAGGAGATTCCTCAGAAACCTAACACTAGAAATTCCACTTGACCCAGCGAGTCCCCTTCTAGGTATCTTCCGCAGAGTCAGGCTCGGGTTACAGTGATACTGTCATGTCCGTGTTTATAGCAGCACAACCCGTAATAGCTAAATCTTGGAAGTGAGCTGTGTGTCCAGCAACAGGTGAACGGATAAACAAAATTATTCATGCACAATGGAGTCCTAAGCCATAAAGTGGAACAAATTTCAGTGGTTTGTAGGAAAATGGATACATTTTGAAATCATAATGTTAATAAAAATAAGTCGTACACACAAGCTTAAGTATCATCACATGGTTTTTCTCCTATATGAGAAGCCCAGAGTATGCATAATTTAAAGAGCACATGAAAGATAATAGGAAACAAGGATCTTCCGCAAATGCGAAGGAGACCAAGAGATGGGGGAGGGGAGGAAGGGGCGGGAAGTAAAACCCTGGTGAGTGTGGGCGTGGTAAACAGCATAAGGCAAACTCAGAGTCAGGGTCGCATGTACACTTACATAGAAGTACATGTTGATTTAGAATTTTAATTGAGATATTTCATCAATAAAGTCAGAATTGCAAATCCAGCCTGTGTTTGTAGGTCTCCCAATGAACAATCACGGCAATTACATTGTGCGCCTGGGACATTTAGTGAGCTGGATGGGAGAACAGGCTGAGGCCCTTGGCGTTGAAGTTTACCCTGGCTATGCTGCTGCGGAGGTTTGTATAGTTCATTTAATGTTTGTGGCAGATTTTACGTTACTCTTCTGCATTTGAAAGTAAAGCAAGAATTTTACAGAAGTAAAATATTTTAGAAAAGCTGTTTTAGAATCACAAGATTAGAAGGAACCGTAAATGATCTCATCCAGAGAGCGCTGAATTTCTTCTGGCGCACCCAGGAGTGCTTTTCCAGCTAGGACTGAACGCCACGGGAATGAAGACCTTCTCTTGCCTGACGGACGACCTGGTGGACTGTTGGCAGCCTCTCCCGTGTACTGAGTGGAAATGAGTCCTGCCTCACGCTGTACACGACGAGTCTGTGGCTCCTGCTCGGGACGGTTTCCAGTTACAGTTGTCCTGCTCGTCCTTCCCCGTCTTGACTCTGGGGTTTGTCCTTCCCAGGCTGAATATTCTCACTTCTTTCAGCTACTGCATTATATAATTTAAGCTCCTTAAGTGTTCTTGTCACACTCCTCCAAACACAATTTCTTTTTATCTCCTTTTTAGAGTGATACCCAAAATACAGAGATCACTTCAAGCCTAGTGTGGAGCAGGGCTAGCACCTTCCTCATTCTGGAAACTTCTTCCAAAGCTCTTTCAGTTCTCTCAAAGTAGTAACATTTCAGCAACTATATTACACTTGTCATTTTGTTTCTTTGGGGAAATTATTAAATAAAATCTACCAACTCAGAAAAATCCACTTATAAGTTATAAAAAAGAATAAAAGAAGTTTATTTATTTTTTGTCTTTTTGAGACAGGGTCTTTCTGTGCAGTTCAGGCTGGTCTCAAGACTCACAATGATCCTCCTGCCTCAGCCTCCTGAGTGCTGGGATTACAGGTGTGCGCCGCACCATGCCCAGCCAAAACAAGTTTATTATTCAGTGGTATTAAACCAAGAAAGAAATGTCACAAGTCAGAAAAGAAATCTCAGTCTTGTAAATAGGTAGGCAAATAGACTCTGTTATATACTGTTAATTATCTTCACCTAAAAGAAAATAGTTGCTTTTTCTTTGTTCATTTGCTTGCTTGTTTGTTTTGTTGTGGTGGTTTTGTTTTTATTTGTTTTGTCTTTCTGAGGCAGGGTCTCGCTATGCAGTTCAGGCTGGCCTTGAGCTCACTTTGTAGCCCAGGCGGGTCTTAAAACTCACAGCGATCCTCCTGCCTCAGCCTCCCGAGTGCTGGGATTACAGGCCACACCTGCTGCTTGCTTGTTTTTGATTAGAAGTTACAGCTTGGAGCCAGGCAGCTAGCCCAAACTGCCACCAAGACCGGAAGCCAGGAGGGCCCCTGGTAGGTGCTCCTGGCGCAGAGCATGGCTCTGAAACCCGCCCCTGAGAGCCATTGCTGGGCTGTGGGGCTGGCTTGAGGTGTGGTGAGCTTTTTAACAAAGTCTCCCACATGTCCCAGGAAGACTGAGAAAGTGCTACCGTGCGCTCCCAGCTAGAGGAGGTACTGAAAGAAAGGTGGAGGGATGGGGGACAGTGATCTTTGGCCTTTGGCACCAGAGAATATTAAAAGCTTTAAAAGGTGTTCTTGTCCTGACAGTGGAAGCGAAAGCACAAGGTGCCCGTGTTGCCTGTACTGCTCTGAATTGTTTGCTCAGCCACACAGGATTCGGGTTTTTGGAGCCCTGTAGCGTTTTGCGTTTCTCCTTCGTAAACCTGCTTGACTGGGCAGGCGATGTGCAGAAGCCACGATTTGCACCGTGAGGGCAGACGCGTGCGCTGAACGGCCTCTCCTACCCTCTCTCGCCAGGTTCTTGGCGATCATTACTAGGACATGACTGCTGCTTGCCGCTTCTCCGGTGCTGAGCCGCACAGACGCGCTGCGGTGCTTCCTTTTTCTGCCCACTGCCGCGGCCCGGTCCCGCCTCTTCACGCCCCTGCTTTGTTTCCAGTGTCCGTTACTGTGCGCACCTTCTACGCAGAGCGCTTCCTCCCGAGAGGAAGCACGACCCGGTTAAAAAGCATTGCCGTTGCTCCTCTTCACAATTACGCGTTTCCTTTTCTTCTTCCAGAAGTACTCTGTAATCAGCACTCTGCGGGCATCAGCCTCTTGTTTCATGTGGTCTTATATTTTGAGGATTCTCAGCTCGAGACGCAGATGCTCCTGACACTTCTTCCATTCCCATGCGGGCCCTTCGTTTGTCGCAGGCTTGATTTCCGACGCGCGGACGGGATGTGCGGTCTGAGAGAGCCCTGCTCCTGTAGCCCCGCTCTGGTCCCCGCCCTCGGGCTCATCAGGGTCCTGCCCTGCTTTCATTTTCAGCCGCTGCCGTCGGAAGGGGCCACCTGAAAGGCTTATCTCACTTCAGCCTGAATATGTCAAAGCCTGTACTCCTGTTATCTGGAGAAGCGCGGTGCCTTCCTATGAAACCTGTTCCATGTCAGGGTCAGTATGGGTGGAGCTGATAGTAATAAGTTTTTATCATTTTCAGGTGCTATACCATGACGATGGTAGTGTAAAAGGAATTGCCACAAACGATGTAGGAATACAAAAAGATGGTGCCCCAAAGGTAATTGTCTTTTTTCTTTTTTTTTTTTCTTTTGGTCTTTTTGAGACAGAGTTTCACTATGCAGTTCAGGCTGGCCTTGAGCTCACTTTGTAGCCCAGGCTGGTCTCAAACTTGCAATGATCCTCCCGCCTCAGCCTACCAGAGTGCTGGGATTACAGGCGTGCATCACCTGGCAAGGTCATTGTCTTTCAATAGTTGTATGTTTAGTAAACTGACAAAGACAGAAAGAACCCACTGAGACTCTTTTAGGTCTTGCTACAAACTGTATAGTATGTGGATTTTAGAATAGAGAATTTTTCTCTCATTATTAAAAAATATGGAAGCAATTTTGAGCTCAGTCTGCTTCAGACAACATGTTTAAGAATAATTGTTTAGACAGGTGTGGCAGACTCCTATAATCCCAGCACTATGGGAGGCTGAGGCAGGAGAATCACAAGTTTGAATTCTGCCAGGACAACTTCGCAAACCTTGTCTCAAAATAAAAAGAGCTGGGGATGTAGCTCAGTGTGAAGGTCCTGGGTTTTATCCCCAGTACCACACACAGTCATATAAACAGTCAAATTTTGTTTCAGTGAGATAATCAAGCTTTTACATCCCGTTTAAATAGAATTAAATGCAGACATGTTATTTGTCACTAGCGCGCTGCAGTTTGACCTTCACAGTTTTCGTTCCTGTGAAAAAGGATCATCTTATTTGTAGGCAAATACTGATAGACTTTGACCTGATTTTAAAGGTCTTTGGGTTGATATAAAACTCATTACCTTCGTTTCATTCAAAATGTCAGCCTGAAGTCAGGTACGATGGTGCACGCCTGTAATCCTAGCACTGGGGAGGCTGAGGCAAGAGGATTGCTGTGAGTTCATCAGCCTGGGCTACAAAGTGAGTTCAAGGCCAGCCTGCACTGCGTAGCAAAACCCTGTCTCAAAAAAAAAAAGGTCAGTCTGAATAGTTTTCAGGTTTTCACAATTTGTATTTGTGGATCTGTGAAAAAAGCCATGAGAATATATAGCACTCACCTGTGACATTCCTTAGGACACAGAAGTTACTTGCTTTTTTATAATAAAAAAGAAACACGAATTAAATCTTACTGAATTGCCTGTTTCTTTGTTCATTATCTGATGTCCCAGCTAGATCATAAGCTTCCTGAGGAGAGGGCTGTTAGGGTACTCGGGGCCTGGCCCAGTGCCAGGTGCATATCAGGGCCTCAGGAAGTGATCAGGGTGCGTCCTTCTCCGCCACGCATGGGCAGAATTAAGAACCTAGGCCGCCCCTCGGGTCCCCTGTGCTTACTACTTCCTGCTCAGAGGCAGGAGGCAGAGCTGCCGAGTCGGCCCTCGCCAGCTCGTCCGGCGCAGTGAGGCCAGGCGCGCTGCAGGGGGCACCAGAGCCCGGGCAGCCCGAGGCGTCTCACGATGGTCAGAGAAGGTTGTTTCCGTGTTGTGACAATTAATTAGTCGTAAAATAATAATTAGTCATTAGTCAATAATTAGTCATAAAATTTATAAAGGTTATAGTTTAGAAATACCTTCCTTACTGTCACAGCAAAATTCACGCACTCCTCTGCTTTGATACGTAATTTTTTGCGTGGCCTCACTTGAGATTTTGTGTGTGTGTTCTGTCCTGTTTGTAAAAACATATTTAGTGTACTAAGTTCATACAGAAACACAGAACATGCTGGGCCTGGGAGTGCACAGCGTAGACCCAGCTACCTGGGAGGCCGAGGCAGAAGCACTTGAGCCCTGACGGTGGGGAGCAGCTTAGAAGTGAACTGGCCTCAGCAACAGGAGTACGGCGAGGTCTTAGCACTTAAGTCCCAAGTGTAAGTTTTTAAAAGAGTTCTTCAGTAGCACACGTTGAAGTGGAGATAATTGGTTTTTGTTTTTTGTTTGGTACTGGGAATCGAACTCATGACCTCAGGCTTGCCAGGCAGGCACTTTGCCACTGATCTGTACCCCCAGCCCTCCTTTTATTTATTTATTTAATTTTTTTGGTACCGGGAATAGAACTCAGGACCTGCGCTTGCCGTGCCGGCGCTTACGCCGCTGAGCTGTATCCCCGGCCGGAAGTGGAGAAAGTGAAGGGTTCCGGTGGCCGTGCCGCGCGGGGTACCTTGCTGCACCCAGTGCTCCCAGCCTGGCAGTGGGCTGCGCGGCTCTGGGCAGCCCGCGGGTCCGCTCTGTCTTCCCCCACTTGATCCCGGGTACCTCCGTGTGTGCATATGTGTGACACGAGACTCGGTTCACGGGGAGAACAAGCTCCTGATAAACACCTGAAAGACAGGCGAACTCCGTGACCAAAGGCGCTCAGTGAGTGACGAAGTAATTCTCACATTTGCACTGGAAGTATTCAGCAACAAGGGTATTCCATCCGAGCCGTGTAGAAACAATGAGACACTCTTACTGTTCCCTGTTGAAACTTGGCTGAAAAATTATGGGACCCTATTCAGGCTTTATTTGGTGTATATTGCTTTAGGCAGATGACTTTATAATGTGAAAACAATTACACTGTGTTTACATGTCAGTGTAAACGTACAAGTTGTATGAACGTATATCTGCATACGTACATGGAGAGAGGACTAGAAAAACACCGGGAATATTATCTTTCATAAGAGAAGCTTCTGCTGGTTCCGAGTTTTTATTCAGTGACCTTTTCCTTCCAGTCTGGGGATTAAACCCACGGCCTTCACACTGGGCCTCATCCCCAGCCCTTCGCATTTTTCAGTTTAAGACAGGGTCTGTCAGTTGCCCAGGCTAGGACTGAACTTGGATCGTCCTGCCTCAGCCTCCCAGAGTGCTGGGATTGTAGGTATGGGCCACCACACCCAGCCTCAGTACCCTTACTGAGTACCTACGTGTGCCAGACCTAGATGCAAAACACATTCCGAACAGAAGAGCGCAAGGTGCTCCCTGTCGCTCTCCCGTGGCGGGGAGAGCGCTTCAGCTTCACAGCGCTGTGGGTTGGACGGGAGAGTGCGGGGAAGGAGGCGCGCTGCGGAGTGAGACACAGGCAGTGTCGCGCGGCTTCCCGTGCAAACCTCCAGCCCCAGCAGATGAGCAGCAGAGGTGGTGGGAAGGGACGGGCAGCCCCGCTGGCTGTGGAGGCCGGGAGGGTGGAGCGGGCACAGCGCCGTGCCCAGCGGGCGTGACGGACCGGGAAAGCAAGTGTGTTGAAAGGGTGTGAACAGCCAGTCGCCACTGTGTAATTTGTAGAAACGTTCCGGCGTGAGTCACAGGACGGTGCTCTGGGCCTCGGACGGTAAGGCTGGAAAGCCCGCACCAGGGGCCGGTTTCCACCGCGGGCAGGCTCCTCCGAGCGCCTCGTCCGCCCGCCCGTCGGCGCGTCACCGTGCGCGCAGACCCGCCGCAGCCGCGCTCGTCCAGCTCCCACTGCGTGCCCGCGCCGCCTGTGCCCGCGCCGTCTCTGCGCCTGAGTCCGAGCTCAGCGTGAGGCCGACCGGCTGCGCGCGCGCTTTAAGCGGTCAGACGCCGCCGCTTGACGCGGTTTTGCTTTTTAGACCACATTCGAGAGAGGGTTGGAACTGCACGCCAAAGTCACGGTCTTCGCAGAGGGTTGCCACGGACACCTGGCCAAGCAGCTCTACAAGAAGTTCGATCTGAGGGCTGACTGCGAACCCCAGACCTATGGGATTGGGCTGAAGGAGGTACCCTGATTTGTTACAATTTTTATTTTGAAAGATAGAACATGAACTAGTTCTTATTGTCATGTAATTTATAATTGTGAATTAATTTTACAGTTACATGTTTCACTAACTTGAAATGCTCATTATAACTAAAAAAATTTGATAATATTTTTTAAGAGGGTAAGAAATACTATTAATCAAATTATTAGGTTATTTCTGCATTTTGGAATTGTTTTATCAAATGGTGCTTGCAGTGAGTCTTTTGCTTTTTTTTTTTGTCTTTTCGAGACGGGGTCTCACTATGCAGTTCAGCTAGGCCTTGAGCTCACTTTGTAGACCAGGTTAGTCTGGAACTTGCAACGATCCTCCTGCCTCAGCCTCCCAAGTGCTGGGATTACAGGCATGCGCCACCATGCCCGGCATTTTGCAATGAGTCTTGAACTGGAAAATATCCAAACTGCTGTTCTTTTTACAGAGCAGTGCTATCTGCCTGGTGGCACTGGGCCTATTATCTACATGCTATCTGTGGATGGCCAGACCCTACAGAAATGTTTACCTAAAACTGTAATGTGGCTGGTGTGGTGCACACCTATAACCCCAGCACTTAGGATTGCCACAAGTTTGAGACCAGTCTGGGCTACATAGTGAGACCCTGTCTCAAAACAAAAAGAAAGTAAACCCCAAAAATAAATAAATAAAATTGAAGTATGTAGATAATTTAGTTTATGAAATACTCAGCACAGTGTATTTAGTTGTAATCCAAATTTTAATTGGATTAAATTTTGTGTATTTTCTCAGTTATCTATTCTTTAGTCTATTTCCTAAATCTTAGGCTGTTAAATTTTCCTTATAACCTTTTTAAAAAATTACTCCTAAGGACCAAGGGTATCTCGGTGGTGGAGCCCTTGCCTGGCCCGTCAGACCCTGGGCTCAGTCCCCAGCGCCAAAAAGTACATCCGTGCTTAAAGTACTTTGCCAGCCGTCATGGCAGTGCCTGTAATCCCAGCACTCTATGAGGCTGAGGCAGGAGGATTGCAAGTTCAAGCCCAGTTCATCTGCAGCTTAGCAATTTACTGAAACCTCGTCTCAAAATTTACAGAAAGGGCCAGGGTCTGTAGGTAGCTCAGTGCAGAGGCTCTTGGTTCAGTCCCCACTAATGGTTTTTTAAGGTTAAATCTCAAGTGCAAATGCTGTATACAGTCAAATTCATTATAATACAAATACAGGCTTGTTTTGGTAGATTGTGTATATTCTCTGATTTTTATATAATATTTCAGACAAAAGTTGTTTAAAATCTAAAACCTACTAATCTGAAAATGAGCCATTTGCTTTTATTGTAAAAGGTGGGGGCAGGCGGAGTACATGGGTTTCCAGAAGCAGCCCTGTAAAGTGACGGAGCGCAGGTGTGCAGCACGCACACGGCTGTAACCGTGCGGTGGGGGAGGGACCCCGCCTGGCACCGGAAGCGCCCTCCCGGCAGAGCGCTCTGTGAACCTCTTCTCACGTGTAACCTGTGCCGTGGACTCTTTGTTTTGCAGCTGTGGCTCGTGGACGAGAAGAAGTGGCGGCCCGGGCGGGTGGACCACACCGTGGGCTGGCCGCTGGACAGACACACGTACGGGGGCTCCTTCCTCTACCACCTGAACGAAGGCGAGCCCCTCGTGGCCCTGGGCTTCGTGGTAGGTCGAGCACTGTGCGGGGCGCACGTCCCCGGGCTGAGAAAGCAGGGCCCGGGCGGAGCGCGTGGAAAGCCTCGGGGAGGCTGCTTCCCCATCCGTCCGTGCGCAGTGCTCGGGCTGTGCCGGCGCGCCCTCGAGCTCGCTGGGCCACGGGGGCCGTCTCGGGGCGCGCTCAGTGTGGGCCGCGCTGGGGTTTCCACCTCTGGTCGGCGTTCAGGGCACAACCTTCGGTGTGTTTGTGAAAAACCAGGAAAGGGCTGTGCTGGTTCATTCCTGCGCTTGGGCCTTCTCGGAGAAGGTACCCCGTGGTTTCGTGTCCTCTTTCTTCGTAACTGTGATTTACATTCATTTTCATTTTTGCCATAGCAGTCTTATAATATAGATTTCTAGTTTATTTCTATAGTTACTAAATGTATAATAAAATACCACATCTCCTTTTGCAAAAACACAATCTGAGACACATACACATTTTTTGAGATAAAGCCTTCCTATATAATCCAGGCTGGCCTCGAAGCCATGGAATCCTCCTGCCTCAGCCTCTCTGCTGGGATTATAATAGAGATGTTCCACCACACCCAACTCCTACACAGGCTTTTTAAATTCCTATTTTGATTTTCACAGCATATGGTAATATGTTCTGAAGTTTTGGACCCAGGTGTGGTGGTAGATGCCTATAATCCTGCTACCCAGGAGGCTGAGGTGGGAGAACTGCCAGTTACTGTGAGTTGCAGGCCAGCCTGGGCCACATAGTTCAAGGCCAGCCTGAACTACAGAGCAAGACCCTGTAATTTTTTGATTTTTTTTTGTTTGTTTGCCAAAACACCAAAAAATTGTAAATTTTTTTAACTTTTATTGATTATAAACACATAGTGTCCTTTTGTTTATCTTTTCTTTCACACATAGATTTTTCTGTAGTGTATTTAAATTTGCCTTGCTATGTCTGCTTCATCAAGTACTGTGTAAGAAATTTAATGCACACATTTCCTGATAAGTATTCACATTTTAGCGTGGTTTAATTTGAAGCTAAAATGTCTAGCTGTATAAATGTGTCGGTTTTAAATGTAACCTTTTAAGGTGGGCCTGGACTACCAGAACCCGTACCTGAGTCCCTTCCGAGAGTTCCAGCGGTGGAAGCACCACCCCAGCGTCGCGCCCACCCTGGAGGGCGGCAAGAGGATCGCCTACGGGGCCAGGGCTCTCAACGAAGGCGGCTTGCAGGTGACTCCTGGGGCTGAGTCCTTACTTTTCGTGGGATAAGGTTAGAATTGAAAGTGTCATCAATGTAGTAAAGAATAGGAAGTTACCCACACGAACAAAGTTGGTAGAATTAAATTACCTAGTATTTATAAAACTGTATACACTAGTAACTAAATCACACCATAAATTTTAGGTAGTTTTAGGACTACGTTGATCTTGAGATAAATTTGTGAGCTCTTTGTTGGTTTGTTTTTAACCAGAAAATAAAACCTGCGTGATTCAGAATATTTCCCCTTCTCCTGAACTGTGCGGACAGGCAAAGGCAAATTTAGTTTTCCACATGGTTTGTCTAATTCCGACTAGTAGTACGGTCCTCTTTTAGGTGGCCTCTGTTTCAGTTCGGAGTAAATCTCACATGTGCAGTTGTAGAAATTGGTACAGGCAGGAAGATGGTCTAAAAGCCGGCTCTGCAAGTGATGCCAGACGATTTGGGGCTGTGCTTTTACCTCTGCCCTGAAGAGGCCATCTGTAATAATCCCTTCAGTCTCTAATGTTCTAGGAATGTAGGACTATTTTAGAAATTCGATTTTTAAACGAATATGTTACAAAAGTAACAGGCAAGCCAGGGATGTAAAGGGGCACACCTATAATTCCAGCACTTGGGAGGCTGAGGCAGGAGGATGCTGTGAGTTTGGAGCATAAAGCAAGTTCATGGTCAGCCTGGAGTACATAGTGAGACCCTGTCTCAAAAAAAAAAAAAAAAGTATATATATACCATAGGAAAATAGGGTGATGACAATATGAAAGTGAAGTTCTATAACAGCAATTCATAACATAAAATTGCACTCTTATAACTACTGAAATCTTAAACTAGCATTGCCCCTAAGTTCTGCTATGGCATTACTTCGCGGTGGGTTGCGTCCCTCTGAAGGGCAGTTACTTGATTTACTAGATGTGTTTATTGAAGGCATAACTGTCTGCAGGCCTTACTGCACATGTCTGGGTACTGTCTGTAATGTTGGCATCAGTCTCACTCTATGTAATTTACCGTATGAAGTATGTGCAGTGATACATATTTACATTTAAAAACATTGTTTTGGGGCCAGGGATATAACTCAGCGGCATAATGCCTGCCTGGCAAGAGCAAGGTCCTGAGTTCAAGTCCCGGTACCAAAAACAATCAGAAATGTGCACTATAAATGACTCTTAAAATTGGTTTTGGAAAGTCAGTTTATTAAGTTAAAGCATATTGTTTAGAATAGTACTTAGTTGCAGTAATGCCATTATTAGATCACAGGTTCCATCCCTAGATACAGAACAAACAAAACGGGTAGGTAGAACCCTTCGTAAGATGTGTCTTTCTGGGGTGCATACAGCAGAAGCAAAAACCACAGTTTAGGGTTCAGTCATTCTGGTCTGAGGATGTCCAGCTGGACGCAGACAGGTGGATGGAGGCGGTCTGGGCGAGCGTGGGAGCCCCAGCCCGTGCAGCACTGCCGGCACAGCCCGCAGGACGCCGTCTCCATGAAGGACGAAGGGCCGGTGCTCCCGTGCAGGCCCTGGGCTCAACCGGGACCGCCAAAATAAATGAAGCTTAGAAATCATTTCACTTCACATACGCGACCGCTTCGATCTTCAGTCTGACCCACGCAGATCGGTTCCGGAGTAGCAGAGACCCTCTCCGGGGAGGAAGGGACCAGCCGAGCCCCCTTCCTTTCCGCAGAGCTCTGAGGGCTTGGTCTGGGGGCCGCGGCTTTGCTCCGCGCGCGCTGACAAATGTTCTGAACCTCCGTTCCCTCAGTCCATCCCAAAGCTCACCTTTCCCGGCGGCTTACTGATCGGCTGCAGCCCTGGGTTCCTGAACGTGCCCAAGATCAAAGGCACGCACACGGCCATGAAGAGCGGCAGTCTGGCAGCAGAAGCGATCTTTAATCAACTGACTGCTGCAGATCTGCAGTCACAGACAGGTAGGACGTGCCTACGGGAGGTCAGAGGGTCGGGTGGGACTGCCGCAGTCGGCATTGAAAGTTCTGTTCTGCGTGCGCCCCGTTACAGTGCTGCGGCGCGTGCGGTACACAACGCAGACTGTACTAGGGTGACGGGACTTGGAGGCAGGCGGGGCGGGCGTGGTGGCCGCCGCCTGTGGCCCTCGCGCTCTGGAGGCTGAGGCAGGAGGGTCATGAGTTTGCGGCTCACCCGGACAGCTCTCGAATTGCTTTTTCAAAAGGCGGTTGGGGGAGCTGGGGATGCAGCTCCGCGTGGAGGTCCGGGGTGCAGTTCCTAGCACTGCCCCCCAAAACCCCCAAAGGCGGGCAGGTGGCCCCCTCCCGGCCAGCGTCCC